TATTTTCGTGTTGATCGTGACGATATTTTTTAAATACAAGTATTGATTCGCTCCTATTTCTTATCTTTTAGGAATGCTGTGACACATATGTGGAAAATTCAACTTAAAAACATCCAGAAATAGTTCTTTGGTATGGAATTCTATGCCATGTATAACTATTACGAAATATGCTATCGATAAACACGCACACTCGGAGATGCACAAGAAGGCCATGTCAGAAGTGGGAAGCAAAGAAAATCACGGCGTTCTCAAAAGCTGCAGATCACTGGGCTTCCATGAAAGTCCGAAGAATCAACATTACATAGAAATCACACAGCAGCAGATTCATTTAATCTTTTACATAAATTTGTTAAAAAATAAAGACACATTTTCATCCATGCAAGCCTGTCATTATTGTTTTCTTTATCTTCAGACAAATGCTAATGACATGTAAATTATATGCAAATTAGCCGCCACTCTGATACATTTTTCTGGGGAGAACACTGTGCATGTGAGATGAGCCTAAATCAGCTAAAATCTTAGCCTGTACTTCGTGTAGCGTGAACACTACTAATATTAAACACGCACACAGCTGAGGGGATTAAATTGTTGTGAGTAACTTGTTTTATAAATAATCAAGTGGTGTCAGGTGTATTATTATGAGGATAGTGTTAAAGGGGAATTCAAGGCAAACAACATAATGCTTCCAGATAAAAAACAAACAAACTGTAAATTGCATTTGCATCTTACATTTGCCCTGCATTTGATTGTGCCATAAATTGGCCCATTAAAAAAATCGCCCTTGGCGATTTCACCGCTGTTGGGTGCTTATTTAAGGTTCAAAAATAAAATAAAAAGTTCATCAAATATTTTTTGGGGCCTTTGGGGTTCTCCCTGGAGAAAAATGCATAGCGCTGCAACTTATTTGCATAATAATTTGCATATCATTTACATACCTTTCCTTCATTAATAAATTAACAACTCATTTACAATTATGAATATTAATGAGATCACAGTGCAAATATACAATGTTCTCCCCAGACTCTAAGCCAAGCATTGCGGCTAATTTACATAAGAAGAGATACATATATTTTATATCATTTACATTAATTGTGTTTTATGTGTGCATCAAGTCAAATAAAGTTTGAAATAGAACAGGAAAGAAATGGAAATACTTATAGCCAGTCAGTAAATATATTGTTTATCCGTGGAGGTAACTGGTTCATCATTATTTTGTGTACAAGTACAGTCAGTTTTAGTGCCAATGTTATTGTCAGTTCATACGACGGGGGGATTTGTTTGTTAAATTTGTAAAATCTGCAAGATTGCGGGTTATCAAAATATGAATAAATTAATAAATCAATAATGACATTTTTTTCTACAACGGCATTTCAAAACTAAAGTCGGCGATTGTTCATTGAAATATCTATTATTTGTGTAACGCTACGATCACCGTAACATTGTCAGCTGACGGCATTGCGTTGAACGGGTATTCACCGCTGCTGTTGCGATCATCGGTCCCTGACTTTTTTGTTTAAAAATACACAAACTTAGAATGTTTGCTTAATTAAAACGATTCATTGATGATTAACTTAGAAATTACATCAA